CTTCTGCTAGTTGGGGTTTAGTCCACTTCTATATCCTTCCCTTCAAGGCTCAGGGGTCCAGGATTATCTTCTGTGTCTGTGTTAATTGTTTTCCCTTTTCTTTGTTGAGGAGGGTCTGTGCAGTCTTTCTGCCTAGTCCGCCATCTTACCGGAACTAAAGTCCTATTGTTTTCAAGGCCAGTGTGGATCAAGTGGGATGACCACACTGTGAAGTCTTTGAAATACTCACCATACCTTCTCTAGTTTCCAAAACAGTGACTGGAATGACATTTGCTCAATAGTGAGAAGCTCATCCATGTTGGTCAGCAAACTGTGCCCCTCGCAACTGACAGGATATGGATGTTCCGTCACTCTCCAACTTTTTAAAAATGAGGGAATTTGAGTAAAGTTTTGTGCCTTGAGCAGGGTCACATGGAGGTCTGGTTAGTAGTGAAGGGAGAGTAGATTTAGGGTTTCTTGGCTTGAGTCTGGAATCCCTGGGTGACACAAATGGTTACGTGTTTGGCTGCTAACCGTAAGGTTGACAGCTCAAGTCCACCTCTTCAGAGGTACCTGAGAAGAGAGTCTTGGCAATCCGCTTCTAAAAAATCCGCATTAAGAACCCTGTGGAGCCCAGTTCTACTCTGTAAATATATGGGGCTGCCATGAGTTAGACTCAGCTCGGCCAAGGCTTTGGTTTGGTTCTGAGCTATGGTTTTAGTGATTGACTGATGAGGAGTCTGATTCTCAGGGAGAAGTTGCTAAGACGTGGTGGGGTAGGAGGATGTATTTTTTTTTTTTTTTACACCCCAAAATACTCAGCACAGTGTTGGGCACGGGCAGATGCTAACAATTGCTCTTGCTGTTAGCATTCGGATCCAACTCTGGAAAGGGCTTGCTCTTCCCAAGCACTGGTCAGAGCAGGGAGGCTCTGCCCTTTGAAATTCAATATCATCAGTGCTTAACAAAGCATTTTCAGTGACATTCCTAGAGTTGATTTACTGCCTTGAGCAATTTGATTTACAACATCATTAACTCTGTACAACATTACGCATAAAGGACCTCTGGAAGGAGCAGGTCTTTCCTGCCTGGTAACTAGCTAACCTCGAAATATTTCTGCAACAAATCAATAGTGCATATATAGTTTTTTGAAAAAAGTTGATAAAATAAGGAAAATTGAAGTCTCAGATGCTGGGTAAATATCTCAAGCATTGATCATTGGAGTTCTAATGGAAATATATACAATAACTTACCTTTCACCATCAAGTTTGCTAATAACCATGCAAACTGAGACTTCATAAAAGTGAGATAACACATGTGAAAGTATTGAAAAGTTGAAATCACTAGAAATTCTAATATGTTTATTTGCCATGTTACCCTGTATTTGGATACCAAATTTTCTGGCCTCTGAGTGATTGCGTGCTGACAAAATGGCTTAAAGTGAGTATTTTTAAAAATAGTTTTGCTAATTTCAGGAGGCCAGGGATTGACTCTCACAAATCCCAAGATCCTATTCTTCCTGGCGACCTGGAACAATGACCACAGATTCCATAGATGCTTATGGAATGAAGAAATGTGCAAACCGTTTTCTGGGTGGATTTTTATTAACTGGGGAGAAGGCACCATATCTGTGAAGAATCAACATTTGTGTTTTCCAATAAGGCGATTTATTGTAGTGAAATTACATTGACATTTTACATGACCCCCCAATGGGTATGTAATGTTTAACTTCACACTGTTGGATAAGACATCATTGAACTACAAAGAAACTCAAAGTGCTGTAAATGGGTTAATAGGATTTAATGCATTTTCATTATTCCACCCAAATTTAATTTGAAGATTAAAAGACATATTTAAGTACTTTTCAAGGTTTTAATTACAGCCTCTTCCTTTCCTGGCATCTGTAGAGCCACTGACTTCCACCCCGACTCGCCAGCTCCCGGCTCTCCTCTCTGTGCCGTGCTGATGAGTTCTCCAGAAGCTGCTTATCAGAGTCACTGGCTAACAAAGACTGAAACATTTTCCCCTAAATGGAGTTTGTGGAAAATGTGAAAACTGGGGTGACCTTGGTGGCAACATGAAAAGAAGTAAAGACTACCTTAAAACCCTAATCAATAAGAAATGTCCCAGGAGACAAAGTCCAGCAATGCAGTTTAGCTCAAGTCCACAAACAGACATAGATCTATGCTGATGTCCGCAGTCTTTGCGACTAACACCTTGTGATAACACATTTCATACATTAGGTACATATTGCACAAGGTCAGACATGTGCGGTCCCCACTGAGCCAGTGCCATTGGGCGGTTACCCTCTCTGAGGGGGGCACTACGTGACTTTTCTAAAGGAGCTTATTCTTGACTCTTTTGAAAACAGACCCTAAAAGCGGGTCTTTACACAGTCACATATTTACAGAAACACCACAAGCTCTGTCCTGGCAGATGGCCTGCCTTCCTAAATGTAGGATTCCCTAGCGTATTGGAGCTGGTCAGCCTCAAAGACTGGCTGACTGCATCTCCGGACTAGATAGTCCTGCTTACTCCTCTGTGTGGACTCCGACACAGTTCTCAGCCGGTGGAGGGCCGATCTCCCTGGTACACTCACTTCCTCTTTGGTTGCCACAGACGTGCACACAGTCTCGCCATGTTTCCAGCTCCCAGTCAAGGGAGAGAGTCTGTGCCTAGTTAGTGGCTCCTGACTGCACGTGTCTCCTGAGTCCCCTCCGTGGAGAGAAAGTAGGGGAGGTGGTCGTATGGAGTCTTGGCTGAGCGTTCGTGCCCTCATACTTCGGACCGTTTGGCTCCTGTAGGCAGCGAGTTCGAATGCCTGGCTCTGAAGGGCCTCCTCGTAAGATGGCGGATTCCCAGCAAGTCTCTGGTCCACTTGTTGAAACACATCGTCAGCTGAGAAGCCACAGGCTCGTGAGGTGACTCCCAGAGCTGTCTGGCTATGAGTTTCAGGCCAACTTTCCTGGATGATGCGGCCAGCAAGCTGGCTGTCTTTCTTGAAGCTCTTCTTCACTGGGTCTCTGGGAAAGACTCTGTACTTGGCAGTCCCACAGCTGGTGGTTTGGGTCTGCACTCTTTTGTGAGGGGACAGGGAGAATGACATGGAGTGCTTTTTCAGTTCTCTGTTGGGCTTACCTTTCTCAGTCTTCATGGTGAAGGACTGGTGCCTGGTGAAGAAATTTCTTTTGGGACTGCAAGGAGAAACCGTGGGGGAGCTGTCACAGGAGCCGTCCAGGGAGCAACTGGACGCAGCCTTCGGTAACAGTCTCTGTGGCAACACCGGACCCGGAATCACGCTCTTTGCCTTCAGGTCCAGTAGTCTTTTGAGTTTGCCTTCCGCAGGGAATACGTCCTCTGGAAATGGGTCTTCAGGGTCTTCACTTCCAAAACTGGAGGCTGCGCGGGGCACCGTGAAGTTGTCCTCACTCTTGGTTAGCTTTTGGCTTGTTATCCGGCTCTCAAGGCACTCTTGGGAGGATGACATGTTGGGTTCTGAATACCTCCTGTCTGGTTGACCAAGGGTGCCTTTCAGCCTGGCCACAGTGCTGACAATGGGCTTCAGACCTGTCTCACGTGGAGACTGTGGCCTCCTGTTGTCCAGGCTGCTAGTCATCTTGGTGGGTCCCTGGGGCAGCCTGCTCTGAGAGCCGATGACACTGTTGGACTCGGCATCAGCGTCCGTGCTGTCGTAGGCCGAGTCATTTTGCAGCGTCGACACATCTAGGGGAAGTGGAGGAACAGTTGAACTTTTTGTTCAGTTTCTCTTAGAGATAAACTTTACTGTAACTGACCCTACTCACACCAAGAGGGCACTAGGCAATTTGGTGGAACTACTTTGGGGCTTGACAGGATAAGAAATATACCACATTCAAATGGATTTATTTCCAAATCTACTATTTCAAGAGAAAGAGGTATGAAAACAGAAGATGAAACACAGAATGAGAAAAGGGAAAAGAGCCTTTCACTGAAAATGCATTGATCTTGAATTTTACAACTGATCCCTGGATGGCTTTTATAGACCCAGATTCCATTACGGGGGAGCAACACTTTCTTACCCCAACCCTATAGCTAAAGGCTGTTTTGTAAATTTAGCACCTGTTCAAGGAGCCCTGGTGGCGCAGTAGTTTAGTGCTCAGCTGCTAACAGAAAGATCAGTGGTTTGAACCCTCCAGTGGCTCCTGAAGGAGAAAAGCCTGTCGCTCTGCCCTTGTAAAGACTGCAGTCTAGGAAACCCTGCCAGGCAGTTCTGCTCTGTCTATAGTGCCGCCATGGATAGGAACAGACTAGAAAGTAACAGTTTAGGCTTTTTTTTTTCCCAGCAGTTATTCACAATTTAGAACAGGAAGGGGAAAGGCCCAGGCTGAAGTTGAAGGAAGTGTTGCACAGAAAGCCTGAGTGAGTTTTCATTTAAAGCGTGCCCTGTGGAGGCGAGGGGTGATGTGTGAGGGAATTTCTGGTTCAGTACCAGAGCTATGTACTATGGTCCTAACTGGCAGGACCATAATTCTAGATGGCCCATCCTGTACCTGAACTGTCCGTGTGGTCCAGGGAGTCATCGGAAGTGATGCTGGACGGCGCTGGGATGTTCTCCCCAAAGACCTCAACGCAGTTGTCGATGAGAAATTCCATCAGGGTCTTAACCTGGGAGGGGACACAAGCACCATCAGCCTGGAGACATGTTTCTTTTTTTGAGAGGGCATGAAGAATGGGGCTGTAAGGGGGTCAACTTCATTGTTTGGCTTTTGCAAAAAGATGGTGAGATCCTAAGGTGGGAGTTTCTTGTAAATGAACTTCCACAAACCTTATTGTTCAAGTCTCTCTGGGCTTCGAAGGACAGGCTCCGGTCGTTCTCCAGGGCCAGCATGTTGGGCCCGATGCAGATGGCAAGGTTGCTCGCGTCCATCTTGTTGGTGCCGGCACTCTTGCTGATCAGATAGAGCACGCACACCAGGTGCTTGAGCAGCAGGCGGTTGGGCCGGGGGAGTTTGTCCACCACCCTGGCACAAAGGGAGGAGAGTGGGTTGTGAGGGGGCTGGTGGTCTGTGCAGCTCAGGCAGCCAAGTTGCTGCTCAAACCAGACTTCCTTTAAAATGAGGAAGGTGTTTTTTCCCAAGTGATATTGTGAAATGTTCATTCAGATGCTTCCAGTGGCAACTGACACAGAACGAAACTGGTTAACCACAAGGTTTTGAAGACCCAAGAGCTGGGTCTTTATGATCACAACACCAGTAACACAGCCCTTTGCTACTTCCCTAGATCTTCAGTTATGCAGCAGAACCTGTATGAAGGCCCCTGGTCTGTCTTTAAAATTTGAAACTCATTTTGCTGAGTAATCCCCCAGGAAGGTAGAATGTCTGTCTGTCATCTCACTCTGCAGGACTGGTTTTCTTGGAATATAACCCTTTGCCTTTTTCTGAACTGTGACCACCAAACGAGGATGACATATTGGGTTTGGAGCTGAGAGCTTAACCACTGAGCCACCAGAGCTTCTCTGAGAGATTTCTATGGAGAAGAAATCAGTTTATAAGGACTTGCTGGAAGGAATGGACACAGCTGAGTTCCTGATTTGGACTTTGAGCTTCTAGAGCTGTGAGAACACATTTCTGATCTTTGGAGACCCCCACATGTGCACGTGTGTCCCAGCGGCATGGGAAACTCACGCAGAGAGAACAGACAGAGGCCCTGGTGCGTTGAGGTTGTGTATTCTCTCTAATCACTGACGGGTCATACTTTCCTTGCACTGAGGAAGTTCTTTTGACTGTCACTGGAATTTGTCTTTATATAATTTTCATGTTGGTTAATTAAGAGACTGTGAGATGTGTTAAGAATTTTATGAAAAACAAAAACAAACAAAAAAACCAACACAACTGTCTCCTGTTGCCATACCTACTAGGCTATAGGGTGTGTTTCCTGGTGAGCTGATGCCTTGTGTGACGCTAATCTATGTGGGTTGAGGACATCCCAAAGGCCTACCCTCTGCCGATCGGCCCATGTGCATGGTTTTATCTATGAGTTTATCTCCTCGAACTACTTGTATTCCTAGACCTCCAGACCTCTTGGGATTTGTGAGTTATGATGCTCACATTTCCTTCCTTTGAGCTAAAGTCACTTATTTTAAACTTCCAGATACCACATTCTCTGAGCATCACAGTTCTGAGGAGCATATGTCACAGACCCTTCCAGTCAGTACAGGGTCAGAAGGTGGCCTCTGCGGCTGCGCCCCTGCCTGCTCTCTGGATGACTTACTGTCTGAGGGCCTCGATCCTGTCCTCCTCACTCTGCTGGTCCAGGGCACCCATCCACTCCTGGAACAGGTTGCTGGACAGCAGCTTCAGGGGGATGCTCCGTAGGAAGTCCTGTGGGAGAAAGGGCACTGCTTGGCCTGCCTGTCGGACACAAAGCACTGGCGTCCTCACTTTCCCCTGGCGCTTGCTTCTCCCTCCCCAGGGAGCTCGGCGTGCGTCCTCTCATAGACTGCACCCCCTCGTTCCTGCAGCCATTCATCAGCGAAACCCCCCATCACCTGTCTCTCATCAGTTTCCTAACAATAGTCACGGAGGGGGCACTGTCCCTGTGGGTGAATTCTGGAGGCCATAGGTTTTAGTGGCATGGGCTCAGCCATGGGATGATCAATTACCAACTCTCATCACATTTTTTGGGAACTTAATGCATCATTTACTATCTGTTGGAATCTTGCATCATAGGATTAGAGATTTATGTATTGTAAATAAATAAGTTATATTTACTTGTATATATATAACTTATTATAAAATATGTATGTATATACACATATGATTTATTATAAACAAATAAACAAATGAATAAACGGCTTAACCGAAAAAGTTAAACTCCAGAGTGAGTTTACTTTGCTAGGGTGGCAGGTCCACTTCCTGTTTCCTGAGGACGGACGTGGCTGACAGGCTATTTGGCCACGAGTGCTGTGAACTTACCTTCAACACCACTGCCAGCAGGTGCACAGGGCGGCTTTCCAAGTCTACCATGCCTCCCGAGTTGAGCTCCTCCTTCAGCTCTTTGCGGGCTTTCTCGTTGGCCGCCTTCCGGAATATTCCTTCAGTGGAAGGGCCTTTAAGGCACAGAATACTCAGGATATCCTATGGGAAAGAGGTATATGCATAGGAAACGGTTATCCTTGGTTTGAAGACACACACTTTGCTGCTACTACACATCTATGTTTAGGTGGAGAAGGTGAGTTAAAGTGAGGGACATGAACAGCACCCAACATTCCCTGTCGTAAAGTACCCTTATGGTACATGTTAGCTCTCTTAGTTATGCTAGGATAGTCCCAACAGGAAACTTTCAGGCCAGCTTTCCCTCCCATCAGGTTGCTGCTAACTCTCTCCCAACGTGCCATTTTTCTAAGAAGTGGACAATTGTGAAAGTTCTCATTGTGGACACTCTAACATTACTTAGGCTTCCTTCCTTTCAAGTCATTCCACGCAAACATTGCATTTCTAATGGTATTTGCTACCATGGCTGCTTGTTTTTCAGAAGCTGCACAGCTTCAGCTTAACTCCATGAGGCCAGCAGGTGGAGAGCTTTGGAGGCACCATCATTCGGAGCTCAGTGGCAAATACAACTACGTTTTAGGCCATAAAAGCCGTATAGCCCAACATGCACCCATATGTGGGAACGCCCTTTCCAAAAGTGCAAAAAACCAAAGATCAACCCCAACAAGTTTAGTATGGGCCTGGCTTTAAGAGTTTTCAAGGATTGTCACATCTGACAGAAAATTGAAGTTGTCTTCTGAGTCAACGCCCACCTACCTGAATGGGCCTGGGGAGTGTTCCGTCCTCACCACAGATGTTGGATAAGGGCTGGTCAAACAGTGGCACTTTGCATTCCTGCTCCAAAGCCCCGGGCACCTCTGAAGCAGGGGAGAGTCTTTTCATGAGAGAGGACCAGGACAGAACCTTCTTTCTCTTCTTGATTTCTGTGGCCAAGGGAAGGAGGCAAAGAGGAAAGTGAGACTATGACGTGAATAAGGAAAGGTCCAGACAAGAAAATGTCATCTGGCCTAAGTGTGCCACGCAGGAGAGAAAACACTGAAGGTGTGACAAACTGAGAAAGCAAAGGCCGTGGCTCTTAATCTAGAAAATCCAATTCGAAAAACAACAACATCGTTACCAGGGCAACCAGCCTCTAAACACCAGCAAACACCAAGGTTCCTCAAAGCCTCCACCTTTCCTGTTTTTTACCCTTCCTCAGCTGTTTGTTACAAAAAATGGGCCAAACCTAGCTGGGCTGGTCATAACCAACCAGCTACACAGCCTGTATAACTATGGTGGCTATTTCTGATGGGAAATGGATTATTTGAACTCCCCCCTTGCACTGGTGAGGAAAATGAAACCTGTTAGCAAGAGAGGAAGCGCCTTGCTCAAGATCTCTTGAAGAAACTTACTTAGCCATTAACCAACGTGGTGCAGCCATGCTAGCACTAACCAGCCACTAGAGGGAGCGCTACACCATTCCCGCCATCTGCTGTTGCCTTCCCTGCTGGCTTTCCAGCTCCTTTAGGCCGGGCCAAGCATGAGCTCTCAGAGACCCCTTGGTCGGAGCAGAACTCTGTAGGGTTTTCAAGGCTCTGCCCTTTCAGAAGCAGATCACTGGGCCTCTCACTCAACAGCAACCGCCACCACCACCAACAGCAAGCACAAAGTGCTCCAGGAAGGCTGGAGCCCAGACCTGCCACAGGGAACGGTCAGGCAAACGTTACGAGGGCGTTCTGTCCTCCCAAACCCAGAAGACTTTGTGCAATGGGTACGGCACCTCACAAGTTCCCCTCTTCTTTTTCCTAATTATAAAAGCCATGTTTCCTAAATGCTTGTCATATGTTCCTATGGATTTTATACTGGCAAAGGAAAGGAGGGCAGACAGAGAAGTGACTTGTCCTTACGCTTCAGGAGATCTGGGTCAAGGTTACGTTTTAAAGAAATGCATTGTGGGAAAAAAAATGAAGGGTGAATTGTGGGTTCTTTGGGATTTGATACAGCAACAATTGCTACCTCATCTCTTAGCTTCATCCCCCATTAACTAAAGAAGGAAGGACACTGGCAAGGCACTGGGCGTTTTGCATAAAACCCAAACCCAAACCCATTGCCCTCAAGTTGGTTCCAGCTCATAGCAACCCCAATAGGACAGAGTAGAACTGCCCTGGATTGTCTCCAAGGCTGTGATCTTTACAGAAGGAGACTCCTTTATCTTTTTCCCTCAGAGCAGTTGGTGGATTTTTGGTTAGCACTCCAGTACTTTAACCACTGCGCCACCAGAGCTCCTTCACATGCATGCACACTTTAATTGTTGCAAACTAAGTGGCTAGGAGATTTGCTCATCCCACTAAAAACCCTTTGGATGGAGAATTGGCTTTTAGGATCTGCTATCAGGGCAGTCAACTACTCTTGCATGCCAGAGCATGTCTGCCACTGAAGAGTTAATGTTCTGCGGTCTTTAAAAGAACATTTATTAAAAAAAAATTCCTAGTAAAGTGCTGCGGTTACAAACCAAGAACACTGGTCGTTAGCATTTATACAAAAGATCAGTAGTTTTTCAAAACTCACCAATCAGCTGGCAAATACTATCTTCACTCTCACAGGATGCCAACAGGGGATGTTGCTTGATGTCACTCTGAAAATATATTTATTTCACTTAAGAACAATGACGGAGGGAACCTACAGTCTTTCCCCACAGAACACACCCACAGCATTTTCTTCATGTCAGATATCAAGTCAGTGCCGTGCATTGTTTTTTCTAGCCTCTAGAATCCCTATGAAGTCTTGATTGTTGTCCTTAAGATCCCAATTAATGTGTTCCATCTACTGCATTTATGATGCCACTTTTCTACCCCAGTAATGGAGTGATTCACGTGTGATTCAGTTGGAACAGAAAGGGGTGGCCCTGTGCAGATCCGAAGTTCTCACAGGGCCGTTTGAAAGGGTTGACAGTTGTTTTCCTACCTCTGATTGACATCCAATCAATGTCTCCATATTATTGCCATTTAGCGTTTTCGACTAAAAGAGAAAAAATAAAGTTAGGTGACCATCTGTGACTGTAGCTTCTAGAACATGTCAATCAATCAATGTCTGAGGGCACGTACAGCATTGCAGCTACTTGTCACCTTCATGAGGGGTCAGGCTGACCGTCCAGAGATGGCCTGAGCTGGGGGCGGTGTGTGTGCGGCTCTACCTACAACAGATCGGAACAGAGAAGAGTTAAGATGCACATGCTTAAGCAGATGGCCAACGACAGTGCCACTTGGCCAAGACGCTGACTTTTAAACTATTAGAAAACGTACCATTTACAGTGACTTCTAGACTATCAGCTGTCTTAACCACTGAGAACAGTATCTAAACACCTTATTTCTGAATTCCTTAAACCCGATCTCTTTAGTGTTCCAAAATGTGCAATTCATTTATTGCATGCCACCAAGAGGCCATCCTAGTTGTAATTACAGCAACAACTAACTTATTCTGAGCGCTCAGTATGTGTTAAGTACTGCATAGATTTTTCTCATCTAATCCAAAAAGGAAAAAACTTACTTCCAGGGTGCTGCTTCAAGTTAAAATAAAACAAAGACAATCCTTGCAGGGTCCCTAGCACCCTAGACTTGGCTGTGACGCAAAGCTGCAGGGTTCTGAATCTTTCTGACTGTGTCGCACCCTTGTTTCACTGTATGGCTGTCTTCTGTGGAGAGGCACCACGAGAGCTGCGATCTGCCAGGTAGTGTATTTGCTCCTGGAGTGAACTGATAGTACTCACCGTGGGAGAGCCTGGAGCCAGGGTTCTTTTACCTCCGGGAAACTGTGGCAAAGGGGCGAAGTTGCGTGACACCGGGCCGCGACACTCCACTGGAGAGAAGAGCTGGGGCCGCGCTGCTTCACATGGACTGCATTATAAGCAGCGGGGGGGCAGGGGGGGCGGGCAGGTGGAAATTCAGGCGATGACTGCCGGAAGGAGCGTCACGAGCTGTCACCAGGACAGAGCCAGCCAGACCCGGGGACTCTCACTTCCTCATTCCTTTTAGGGCACGTGTTGTTCTTTTCTTCTCTTCCACTTCAGAGTCAGAAATCTGTGAATGACTCGGGGTGGAAAAGGGTGACGAGAGATGGAAGAAGTGACAGCAACAGGTGAAAGCTCGGATTCGTGTCATAGGTGGGATGTATGAATAAAAAATTGTGCTCTTTTATACGTAAACATGGTTTTATTTTCTTAAGTGGTACTTTTTTGGTATCCTGTCTGGGTGCTGTTCCCTCGCCCACCCACCATCTACTCCGTCCATCAGCCTCCAGGCATTGACGGGCATCCTTTTGTCCAGGACTCACAGAACCACGAAGAAACGTGAGACCCAACCCCTCCTTTCAGAGTCAAGCACCATCCAAAGCCAGGCCAGTGAGGACATAGTAACCCCTTTTCTCTTGTCCCGGACTCTCAGGCAAAGGTCCCAATACTTAATTTGTAGCCATATCAGCACTTGTTCAGATGTGGAAGGAAAATGACAGAAGACACCTTTGATCAGTCAAGTTTAAGGTAGAAAGGTGACAGTGAAGTTCACTTGTGCCATTCTTCCTTCTGAATGTCTGCTGAAAGGCTACGTGACCCGGAGAGTAGAACGGCTGACCATGTACGGATGCTGTCACACCCTGGGGTGATATGCAGCATGGAGAAAGAGCAGTCTGCATCCACCTTCAACACTGTGGTCGCGTCTCACAACATAACGTTGAGTGAAAGAACCAGTCACAAGAGAGTACCCTGCACACTTCTATCACTCAGATAAAATACAACAGCAGCACAGAGGCAGAGGTAGAATGCTCTCCTTCCACATGGGAGACCCGGGTTCGTATCCCAGGCAGTGTACTTCACGTACAGCCCCCACCTGCCTGTCAGTGGAGGTTTGCATGTGGCTACGATGCTGGATAGATTTCAGGGGGGCTTCCAGAGTAAGACTGGGAAGAAAGGCCTGGGGGTCTGCCTCCACAATCAGCCAGTGAGAACTCTGGATCCTGATGGTCCAGTCCCAGTGGCTGGTCAGGACGTTGCAGGACAGGGCAGTGGTCCATGTCATTGTGTATGGAGTTGCCATGAGTGGAGAACCAACTGACAACAGCAACAATGACACAAAGACAGGAAATGTCGTCTACGTGGTTAGAAGCCTGCATAGTGGTTTCCCCAGGGGATGGCTAGGGACCACAAGGAGTAGGCGAGGAGAATTGGGGTGCTTGTTGGTCCACTTCTTGAGCTGGGTGCTGCTATCCTTGTCTGCACATTTCTGCAAGTAGGTTGTTCTTCAACAAGAAGCTTAGAAATACTGTAATTCATTAATTCAGCATCTTTAAGACTTTGTCATAGTGATGCCTCCACTGCCTCTCTGCGGAAGAGGTGATTGTTAGAGATACTGTGAGAAACCGAGGCACAGAGCAGGGAGCTGTCCCTGTGGCCAGTGTTTCAGTGGATGTGCTGAGGAGCGGTCCTTGTCTTCAGCCTTCCAACCAGAGGCCCCTCTTCTTAAGAGCGAGAGAGCTCCACTGTTCCCAGGCTCTCCGTGGCGTCTGTAGACCCTCCCACCCTTTCATTCCCCAGCACAGTGGGGACCCTCTTGCCTTTGTTGTTGTTGTTGTTGTTGTTAGGTGCTGTTGAGTCGTCTCCAACTCCTAGCGACCCCATGAACAACAGAATGAAACACTGCCCCATCCTGTGGCAGCCTCAGGATCCCTGCTTTATCTGAGCCCATTGCTGTAGCCACCGTGTCAATCCATATTGTTGAGGGCTTTCCCCTCCTTCATTGACCCTCACCTTACCAAGGATGACATCCTTCTCCAGGGAACGGCCCCTTCTGACAACATGACCAAAGTAGGTGAGATGAAGTCTGGCCATTCTTGCTTCTGAGGAGCATTCCGGCTGCACTTCTTCCAGGCAGATTTGTTTGTCCTGCTGGCAGTCCATGGTGTTTTCAGGATTCTTCACCAAGACCACAATACCTCTTGCCTTTACAAACCTCCAAAAGCTAATTCACAGATTATTTTCAATTAAAAAGAGCATTTATATTATATCTGGCTTAGTTCCAGGTCTGCAGTAGGTGCTCAATATATAATTTTTGAATAACTGTATTTACTTATAAAATAGTCACAATAGAATGTTACTATAAGATACATCATTTGCTAGTAGTAGTTTATGAACTGTATTCATGTGACAAACTTGGGCTCTTCTCAGATACTTAATGTATGCACTGTTCTTACAACTAAGGTATTAATTCTCAATAGAAAATTCTCCTTTGATAAAAGTGAAGGCTATAATTTTTCTAACCCTTAAGGTTTCTTCTCCTTATTATACACTACCCCACACAATAGACACTATACCAGTGGTATGGAAGCTATTTTCTCTCCCTTATGGAATTCTGTGTGCAAAGGAATATAAATTCAGAATCGCAGGATAGGTGTACCTTGGGGATATTAATGGTTTGGTTTCAGAATAAAATAAAAAACCCCAAACCCACTGCCATCAAGTCGATCTTGACTCATAGAGACCCAATAGGACAGAGTAGAACTGCCACAGAGTGTTTCTAAGGCTGTAAATCTTTATGGAAGCAGACTGCCTCATCTTTCTGCCATGGTGTGGCTGGTGGGTTTGAACCACTGACCTTTTGGTTAGCAGCCCAATGCATTAACCACAGTGCCACCAGAGCTGGTCAGACCACTACAATAAAGTAAATATCACAATAAAGCAAGTCACGTGAATTTTTGCCTTCCCAGTGCATATAAAAGTTCTATTTATGCTATACTGTAGTCTATTAAGTATGCAATAGCATGATGATATGTTTGAAATATTGTGGGAATGACCAAAATGTGACATAGACATGAAGTGAGCACCTGCTGTTGGAAAAATGGTGCTGACAGATGTGCTCGACACAGGGTTGCCACACACCTTCAATTTGTAAAAAAAACCAGCATTGGTGAAGTGCAATAAAGTGAAGCACTATAAAATGAGGGGTGCCTGTATAAAAATGTACAAATAAATGATTTAAGTGTGTTCTCTGGTGGGAGAAGCTTGGGAAGTCCTAGTGTCTCCATTCTCCCTCTTCTTCTGGAAGCCCAAGCTGAGTGGTTCTTGGGGAGACTGAAAACTCAGAGGTTTGCTTTATGTCAATGGTTCTCAAAGCTTGTCAGTGTCCCTGGGTGCCCCTGAAATGGTTTCAGGGGACCCATGAGGCCAACATGGCTTCTATAATATTCCTAAGATGCCATTTGCCTTTCTCCGGCCCCCCTTTTGTCAGGTGATGTGCTGTGGAGGTTTAGAGAATGACACAAAATCGCTGGCCTGAAACATATGACAGGTGAGGAAAGGGCAGGTGTCATCAGAGAAAAGGCTGATTCCCGTTTTCTCTAGAAGATCATTCTGTTAATCGGTCGTTAGGTAGCCAGACCCAACTCCTGCCTGTCAGTTTGTCACACTAGGGTGGCCTGTGTGCTGCTGAGGTTCTGGAGGCTGTGCCACCGGCATTTCCAGTCCCAGCAGGGTCCCTCCTGGTGGACAGGTTCCAGTGGAGCTTCCCGACTAAGACACACTGGGAAGGAAGGCCTGGTGACCTGCTTCTGAACATCAGCCAACGCAAGCCCTAAGGACCAGAATGTCATCTCATATAATGGCCTTGAATAGTCCAGTGAACGTGAGGAGGGCCCAGGACCAGGCAACATTCCGTGCTCTTCTACGTAGGGTCACAGGAGTCGGAGCCTAGACAACAATAACTAGGGCCTCCAACAGCATGGTCTTTTTAGCTGTTTATTCTGGAAACAGGGGAGGTTCCCAGAGTCCACCTGATGCTCTCTGATGCTGTGACAGCTGATGTGTATGAAAATGTTCTCAGTTTTAACCTCTCATGTGATCAGTATCGGTGGCTATGTCTTACACAAACTAAAGCTATTTATGACAATTGTTTTTAAGGTGTAAAGGGCTCCTGAGACCAAAATGTTTGCGAGCTGTGACCTACACCTCATCTTTGCTTGGGAGGAGACCCCACCACGTGTCAGGGGGTGTCTGCACCCGTCTATGCATCACTGTTCTCCCGAATGGCTACACAATGAAGGATTCTCCCAGGATTCTGGCTCATGCGTGTGTCTGAAGCTGCACCTC